CCCACAGCAAGGCCTCCCAATCTGAGAAGGAGTCCGGGGTTTCCATCAGGAACCCCAGCTAAGAGTAAACAAATATCAGGATCCACCACCCGTCCTGTTATCAAACCAATCGCATGATGGCAAATCTTCCCCTGATCCACAAGGGCGGCAACTGCCTGTGGTGGTGACGACCTAGGGCAGACTTTGACCTGGTTAACCTCGGAACTCCAGGGAACCACAATGGCTAAGCCAGCAAAACTCCGAGAAAAATGAAATACATGCTGAGGTCAGCACAACCAGTGAAGATAGGCCATCCAAGTATACAAGTAAGTATACTCAGAAATAATAAACAAGATTCGATAAAAAAAAAATGCATTTTCGATGACAGAAACTTGTTTGGGAAGCGGAACAGTTGTTCGAGCGATCATACTCAGTTATATTATTCGTTATCAAAACTGATACTTAACTAAGGTAAAATAGGAAGAAAATGCGTCGTTTTCTTGTTCAGCAATCGTGGGGTTGCTAAACAGCAAACATTTACTTTCATAGAAAAACACAATACAACACAACAGTAGCTAAAGTTTTGGCAGTATCGCCTTCTTCAGAGTCTGGAAGGGTATACTGATATACAATCTACTAGGCCAAACGCTTCAATAACACTTACACAAAGACGAAAGACTCTTTGGTAATTACATGGTCAACAGCTTCTCGAAAAACTCACCGCTTTTTACGTGACTTCCAATGAGGAGGTATAGAACAGCTGATTATAGTCGCATATGGTTGACGACTGCACCATCCCACATCAGAAATTGGTGCGAACATACGGGGTCANCTCAGAAATAATAAACAAGATTCGATAAAAAAAAATGCATTTTCGATGACAGAAACTTGTTTGGGAAGCGGAACAGTTGTTCGAGCGATCATACTCAGTTATATTATTCGTTATCAAAACTGATACTTAACTAAGGTAAAATAGGAAGAAAATGCGTCGTTTTCTTGTTCAGCAATCGTGGGGTTGCTAAACAGCAAACATTTACTTTCATAGAAAAACACAATACAACACAACAGTAGCTAAAGTTTTGGCAGTATCGCCTTCTTCAGAGTCTGGAAGGGTATACTGATATACAATCTACTAGGCCAAACGCTTCAATAACACTTACACAAAGACGAAAGACTCTTTGGTAATTACATGGTCAACAGCTTCTCGAAAAACTCACCGCTTTTTACGTGACTTCCAATGAGGAGGTATAGAACAGCTGATTATAGTCGCATATGGTTGACGACTGCACCATCCCACATCAGAAATTGGTGCGAACATACGGGGTCAGGTCGCGTATGACCTCTGGACATTGATTGATCCCTGCTATTCACTCTAGGGTTTTTGGAACTAACCAAGCTTCAAGAAGATGGCAAACGAAAACTAAGACAAAGTACCTCACTAGGCACGCATAGGATACAAAAACATAGCGGAGACGATTTTGAAGTAAAAGCCCATATCCTTGCACAGAAGGCTAAAACATCAGCGCGAAAACTTCAAACTTTTTGGATAAATGCCAAAAACCCTACAATGAATAGCAGGGAGGAATGCCCAGAGGTCATACGCGGCGTGACCCCGTATGTTCGCACCAATTTCTGATGTGGGATGGTGAAGTCATCAACCACATGCGACTATAATCAGCTGTTCTAAACTTCCTCATTGGAAGTCACGTAAAAAGCGGTGAGTTTTTCGAGAAGCTGTTGATCATGTAATTACCATAGAGTTTTACGTCTTTTTTTAAGTGTTATTGAAGGCTTCTTGTAGTCGAGATCGATCTTCTTTGAGAATCCCACCAAATCAGCGTTTCTATTGCTCGTATTATTCAAGGAAGTGAAGTTCATATATTTATTTATGTGATCTTATAAACTGATCTTCTTAAGCTGACGCGAGGTTGGTACAGATCTTCGTTGTCGTTGTCGTTGTTGTTGCTGTTGCTCTTGTTGGTCGATAGCCGACGTTTCGGCGGTTTCGCCTTCCTCAGAGCCGTGATGTTACGGGTCGCACTCGAGTCAGCACAACAACAACAACAACGACAATGACAACGAAGATCTATACTAAACTCGAATTTGCTAAATAAGATCAGTTTATAAGATCATATAAATAAATATATCAACTATCAATGCCGAGGTTTATAGAAAGTCGGTCTTTTGAGCTAAAGGAACGGTTCGGAACTTTACTGTTGAGTAGTTGAGCCATTATTAGCAGGTTCACTGTCATATAGGTGATTCATTTTGCTCCACATATTCTAGAATCGAGTTTCTATTAAACTCGTCATCCTTCGACAAGTCAGTGTTTTCTTCTTGAGTAGACCGCCGACTTTTTTGACCTGATCATGGGACATTCCTCTCCTATGGAGGGCAACTTGCGGTTAGCCTCCAGCAATAACTGACAGGCATTTGAAAAACAATTAAAAGAAGCTGTTTACTATGCAGATGAAATCTACGTGGCGAGTCTTCTCCGCTTGGGTTACGAAAGTGTTTGGCTGGGTAGACTGCGCGTCAATCTGGTCTTTCCAGGCCCTGAACGAGGCAAAACCTATCAAACATTATCCAATATCCAATTAATATTGTGACTAACGAGCTCGTGTTTGCTCAAAAAAGAAAACACTAACTTGTTTTATCACACATTTACCGCCTACTTTGTCGATTAGCAGCATGTAGAAAGCATATCTGTTGCTCAATTACGTGGATTGTTACATTCTCCTAAGCCACAATTGAGCGCGAATTGTGCAGGGCTTAGAGATGACACGCAGTACGATGTTAACTATTGGTTTGAGTCGGCCTCTAGCCAATCCACTGTCAGCAAAGTGCAACTTACATGGAAAAAGCACCGCAAAGTTGAAGACCCTTTGTGAGTAAGGACTGCAAAACCCTTGCACAACTATCCTAGAACCCAAGGAGCGTCTACTCGACTTGAATTCCGCAACACTCATGAATAAGAAGAAAATCCAAAAATCCACATGTTGCAAACGAATTCACATGTAGATCCGAAAACCTTCGTAAGTAACAAATGCGAAACAAGGAATCGAATGAAACGAAAGCTACGAACTGCACAATACGTACTAATGAGAAGGTCGAGAGTTAGCAGTTAGCTCGCGATAACTTCAGGCTGGTTGAAATCAAGGCACCAAAAGCGGGAAGTTTTACTCCCAGAGTTCAAAATTAAGAGTACTGAGAGCAACTTGAAATGACATCAACCCATTAGCGGTTATATGCAATAATTTGAAAGGAAGAGCAGCCCATTGCGAAGATTCCAATGGATGTTCTCACGGGTCGCTTTTGGGCAATACGAGTCCCGCACGTAACATCACGGCTCTGAGGAAGTCGAAGTCGCCGAAACGTCAGCCATCGATCAATAACATCAAAAACAACGACAACGACAACGAAGATCTGTACCAACCTCGCGTCAGCTTAAGAAGATCAGTTTATAAGATCACATAAATAAATATATCAACTATCTATGCCGAGGTTTATAGAAAGTCGGTCTTTCGAGTTATGTAGATTATGTCGCTCCAGCACCAGAAAAGTCCTCAACGACAGGACTTTTATCCATGGCAGGTATGTGTAAAGGATTTGTTTTCCTACAATATAAATAGTTCTAGCTCAACAGTAACGATATTTTATTCCTGCGAACGTTATTCAAAAGTGAGTTCATCCAGGTCGTTGCTGCAATGAGCTTGGGTCGGTCGACGGGAATATTCCGAAGGATGACAGGGAGAAGACATATCGGTATGCTGCCTGTGTCGCCACTTGTACAATTAAATGCACCACTTTTACAATGACATTTTGCTAATATTTTCGCTTATTGGTCAGGTAAAATGGGTTTGGTATAAAATTCGGAGGTCACTGAATATTTTTCTTCTGGGTGCGATTACTACTCGAGGATTGTCGTCTTTGTCACCAATATCTTTGAATGGTGATCGAGTCGGTTCTCCATGGAATCTTCGGTTAACCGCGCTCTAGCGTTCTGACGTAGACTCTCGGTAGTGAACATCTCTCAGACAAGTCTGTCGCTACCAATATCCCGAACTTGGACTGATGGTAGGCTTGCTGGGACTTAGTCGGCGACGAACCAATGTCCAGCTTGGTTTAGCCTTCTGAATAAAAAATTTGTCTACCACAGCGTCAGCCACCTCATGAATCTTTCGTTGAGATTTAAGTTCAGATAAGACAATTACAAAGAAGACATATTGGCATAAAAGAACAAAATAGATCACGCACTGCTACTTAATTTAACGTATTATTTACTGCCTATTCTTTTCAACGGCAGGGTATACATTGTGAAATAAAGCTTCAATGATGCTGAGGTATTTGCAAAACTCCGGACCGAAGGATGATTGCTGATGGCAAAAGATCGATAGAACTAGCTGAGAGACAGGCAAAACGAAGGACCCGGATGGTGTGGTGGTGAAGTGCGCTACTCGCCGGTAAGGACAATAGCGTGTTCGTTCCCCACCGCATACACCTGCGGTCAGGAATTTTGCAAATATCTCAACATAATTGAAGCTACTTCTTAACTTGACACTAATCAGTAGAAGAGGAGAAATGAGAGGAATTCTGTTGCAAGACCACCTTGCAGCACGCTTTGCATCAACAAGTTTAGTTATCCATATAGTGCTCTGCTGAATGGAATCTCAGCAAATCGATCCATACTTTGCAAGGTTTCGACGTGTGCTGTAGAATTTTCAACTATCCAAGTATCTTCGCAGAAGTTCATTGTTTTCAAGTGCATCCGTCACCAAGACCACTGTTGCTGTCGAAAATCACATTTTTTCATGAAGGCAAAACTTTAGCTGGACCGGGGACCAATAAAGTGTACTCGTGTTCCAGTTACAAAATTCTTGTTTAGTGTTGGCCACTTCTTGAAAATGAGAGTATGAACACCTTTGATTAAGTCCTAGACTTTGAGACTGTGGTTGAAAATACTGGACAAATTGTATTTTTGGAGAGCAAGAAGGAGAAGTGAACCGTTTCTCTCCTGAACGATGGACAAAAGCGGCTCGCAGACAAGAGAAGGGAACTACCTGGGTGGGAAAGCAAGTCTAATTCGTTTGTTAGAAAGTAAATACTGGTACATGCTGCGAAAAATTGTAGCAACCAGCACAAGAAACGATAACATTGCAAATATTGATGTACCAGATTTAATGGCATAACATTTACCCTTGACTTTATTTAGGGATAACATATTAGATGAGCGTATAAAGCAACGGGAAAAGAACAAGAAACTGGATTTACGACAGCAAACGCACATGGAATCCAGTCAAAAAGTTACGCTTGAGACGGTAGAATGGATGAAAGCTCACCTTGAATTTCAAGAACAAGAGCTTAGTGTCGACCTTGATTCGAAGGCACTAGTTTTCTGAAATATTCTCTGAGACTATAAATATGTATTTCTAGAGTTAAAATTTGAGGGAAGTGGAGAGAGGCAGCAAACAAGGAGAGGAAATTGGAAGAAAGGCCTTCATACTAGTGCCAGAAGAAATTCTTTGCCTTATAAACACATTTTTTCTGAAGGACAATTCAGTCTTTATATGGCCAAGTAAGGGCGCCGTGCTTGTTGAACAGAGGGCGCGTGTGGGGCAGTGGTCGGAGGCGCCCTGCAACACACACGTGGAATTGATTCCCGCGCTCATGGGCCAACAAGCCATCCACCCCTCCGGAGTCGGCAAATTGGTACCAGACTGACTTGTCTGGGAGGATGGCAGCACTGCCTCGATACATGGGTAGGCCACCGCGAGTCATTGTAAAGGCCAGATATGCATTCAATCACCTCCAATGATTCTCAATGAAGTCGAATGCATAGCGCGTCCCTCAGGGTTTGATCAACGCCGAGAGCCTCATCCTTCGCCCTTTATAAGGCCAGGTGGAATGCTTTTTTAGCTGCTCATGCAGACATTGTTCTACAAGACTGAAAGAATGCTATCCAAATTCAAACGTAAATATTGGTATGTTAACTTTTTATTTTCTACCTGCTATGATTTTTCATGTCAGAGTATTATGTGAATCACAATCAAAACGATGCTGAGATATTCGCAAAACTTGGACCCCGGACCAGCTCGAACTACGATTTCCCATTCCGGAGACTCACGCATTACACACCGCACCACGGTAGCACTTGCTGTGTTTTTCTCAGCCAGTTTTCTACCAGCTTTCTACAAGCACGTTTCCAAGTTTTTTTTTCTATAAGGTGGTAGGTGGTGCCCATTAAACAACTGCAATTCATTGCAAACCTGTCGTTATTGATTCACATACGAACGAAAAGGAAAAGGAAGATGGGATTAGTGATGAGGTGGAGTTTTTACCCTCAAAAAATCATTTTAGATTTTTGCATTGAGGGTATGTAGGAGCTCCATTTTCGAGGTGACTCTCCGATTACCATGCTTATATGCATATTATTCTTCTTAACTTATTCAGTACGCCGTAAATTCCACCTACTTCATTGGAAGATCGGCAGAATGAGACGGCTCATGGGTGAGTTGTTTCCTGAACGGGCATTTAATTGCACCTATTGCTGTTGTACTATGTTGGTCACAGCGATAGAAGCAATGTTGTCTTTCGTCGTTGTGATGAATTGGATGGCTATTCGGAAAAAGAGTGTCATTTCCTCTAGCAATCGTAGTGCTCGCATAGGTTTCATTAAACTGCTTTTCTGATGATCTTAGAGCGGATTCCCTTCTTGTCTTTAATATTTCCTATGTCGCTCTGTTAACTTGTGTAGCGCAGTGGGAGTTGTCCAACAATACAAATTTGGTTGTTGGTTCGATCAAGGGCAACAGCATCACAAGCCTCCCATCCGAGTGGAGTGGACTGTGGCACCTGACTTGTCTGCGAACATAGCAGCACAGATTTTGATACATAGGTAAGGCACCGAAATTTATTCTACAAGTCAGCTATGCATTCAATAGCCTCCAACGATGCTTGACAAGGCCCAATATAAGGAGCGAATGTGGTGTTAAATGATCACCTAGTCCAAGGTTGTTCATTTAAGTGTGTTTAATCTAGACTGCGCCACATTGTTCTTTATTTGATTCATAGTTTTCTAAATACAGAAGAAGTTCAACTGCTGTATGAAATCAGCACTGAAAATCTTCCGTGTTTTATCCCCATATTGAGACATCTGCTTTTCTAGAACCCTTGAACCACGCGATAACACTACTACCCCGTTTCCAGGTGATCGCTACAGGTAGTAGACGGCTCCTGTGAAATTGTTCGCTCCGGAAAATTACTGGAGTGATTTAGCGCATTGTTGTATAAAAGTTTGTCTGGATGATTATATAAAATGTTTTCGTCTCCGTCATTACATTCGACAGCGCAGCAATAGGCACTCTCGGAACACTTGCCGAATGGGACACTTGCCATTCCTAACATTCTGTGCTTCGTCTTCGGAGTACATATGGCTCTATGAGAGATTTTATAAACTTTTTGCGAAAAGCTATATGCGTCGCACTAGAGCATATCGCAAAGCCTACATGTCTTTGTAGAGCGTTCTAAAGTGGTTAATATGTGATTAGGGCGGATCAAATTGTATTTCGCAGATATGTATTCAGGTCTGTTCAACGGATGAGCTCCGTCTCTGATATATTAGCATTGCGTCATTTCATATGAAAGCATGCGTATTTATGTGTTCGAGTTTGTGTGTGCTTCACAACTGCGTTGGTGACTACGTCCATCAATCCGTAGCGTAGCTTATTGAGCTGCTGATCTGTGTTCTCCTATCAAAAACAGCAAAAGAGCTATAAACCTCATGAAAAGCCTGCTCTGCGGTTCCAATGAGCGAGTGTAACAAATGTAGAATGTTACTGGTGTCCGTTTAAGCTAGTGGTAATGACGCAGTCTACCAACAACTTTGTCGGTGGTGCTCGCCCTTGCCTCACAATACCTCCAATCCTTCCGAAAACGGGAAATTGGTGCCAGATTTGGCTGGGATCAGCTCATTTCGTCCAATCTATGTGAGATTGCTTTAGCACTCCTATCCTAGGACTCCAGGATGAAACAGCTTGCGGAGAATAGAATACTCGAAAAAAAAGACGGAAAAATCCTACAGCAGCTGCCAAACTCAAACGAGAAAAAAATCGAAGACCTTCGTCGACGATGGATAAGAGGGAACTAATCAAACTCGGGAACTGCTAGGATCTGCATAATAGATATGAAAACGGGTGATGTAACATAAAACAGAAAAATAGAAGCAAGCTTCTCTGCAAATCAACGATATGAGGGAAGTGATGACCTTACTGTACAAGTTAAAGTTACACATGAAGCATTCTGTTCACAATATCCATTAAGAATTGGAAGACGGGAACGTAAACGAACGTCTATATGATAAGACGGAATCAGCAAATCTGCGTTGCGTAGGAATTAAGAAAAATCGCCGTCGTGCCGTTTCCACCAAGGGGAGACCGTCGATCGTCTGTGACCAACGATCGTGATTGCAGTTCCCAGGATCGGGTTTGTGCTAACCTCGGCACTGGATTATAAATGTGTCGTTTTCTTGTCCGGCAATCGAAAGGTTGTCATACAGCACACGCTTACTTCTGTACAAAAAAGACGTACAATATAACATCAGCTGATATTTCGCCAATAACGTCTTCTTCAGAGCCTGGGAGGGTTTATTGAAACGTAGTTTGCTACACCAAACTGTTCACAAAATAACACAAGCAGAAAGATGAGAATCTGTTTGGTAATCACACCGTCAACAGCTTCTCGAAAGAAAACCCAGTGTTTTTTAAGTGCATTCCACTGAGGAAGAACAGCTGATCAGAGTCGCACATGGTTGGTGACTGCACCACACCACATCAAAAGTCGATTCGAGGATACGGTGTCAGATCACGTGTCATTTCTGGGCATTCCTCCTTGCTATACATTGTCGGATTTCTGGCATTTATTCAAAAGCCGCTGAAAAAAGTGCAACTTTGGATCTAAGTCATTCATCACGCCAAATTTCCTAGTTAAGATTGACGTAACTACAGTATTTAGATATATTCCTACCGTTTAGCGTGAACGGTTCATAGAAACTCTCCATGAACACCCTTTTGTGAGGTTTCGTTAAAAACCAATCATTCCATAAACGTAATCAAACTCGGCTCCATTCGTTTCCACTGGCTACGGCTTGATATTATAACAACGACGACATCAGCAAAGCGAAGGTGGTGTAATTCCAGACCACCAATTTTCACTCCCATGTTTTTCGATTCCAATGTTAGCATGACGTTCTCCACGGTGGCAGTAAATAATTTTGGCGAGATGGTATCGCCTTATCTAATTCGTATTTTCAAATAGACGTTAATATGGTTGTGTGATGGTGATGTCTTCCTTGCGAAATTTCTAAATAGCTCGTGAAGAATCTCTATATACCGAGTAAAGACGTATAAGCGCTTCCGTGACTGCTCTTATCTCAAATACGTCAAAAGTCTTTTTTAAGTAGGTGATGGTGAAAAAATGCGGTCTCTTTTCTTACACTGCCGCGATACTTCAGTGAGTCCTCCTAAGGTTTGCATGTGGTTCATCTTACTGAATCCTTTTCGAAAGGCAGTGAAAAGTTTGTAGACGACAGACAGTAGGCAGACTGGGTGATAGTTACCTACATTGCGGAGGTCACCCTCCTTGAGCAATAGCACGGTCTCGCTGGTCATTCACTAAATAAGGAACTTGAATTCATACAAGTAACGTGTGAACAGCCGAGTAATTATGTTTATATGGACTGACTGAAGGTTGTTCAGGGGTTCAGATCTTATCCTCTCAGGACTTGGCTTATTCGATTATTCACTGTCGAATTAACATGGTAGATTTCGGAAGAGAGGACTGGTCGTATGACAAGTCCATCTCTATTTTACATGAGGGTAGAAGGACATTGCTATTGAAGAGATCTTAAGATCTTAGATCTTAGATCGTAAACAACTTTGTCCAGTGCATTCCAATGTCCAATCCGGCAGCTGCAACTGTTCTGTCTCGGTCTCGGGGTGCAACCATTCAGGTTTTGTAACTGGTGGACTTTGTGAACGATTTTCCCAACCTCTGCAGCTCCGACCACAACTGCTGCTCATCTCTCTATATGATCTTATTTTATTGCCTGTCTTCATTGTTTTGCCTGTTCGAACATCAACTGGCGGTTGCACGTAGCGGCGCGATTTCAGATTAGCCTTTCCGCACGAGTGTATCTGCAGACACACGTCTCTTGGTGACTTTCGAACTCTCAACCTTCACAGCGCTAACGTCGAAATGTTGGACGAGACGATTGTAATCCTAGTCTTTGTTATCAAGAACCGTATCTTCATTTGATTTTAAATTATTTGATTTTAAAGTGAGAGAATGAATGGATGGACTTCATACCGGTTGTTTTCAAGAAAAAAGATCAAAACATCCTCTCCTTCCACCCTTCCACTGAAAGGGCACTGGTTGGGAACAGATTTCGTACACCCACCAGTATGTGCACAGGAAAGGAGCGGAAGAAAGAATATCTGGACTTAGCGCGAAAAATAGCCGTTTTTAATAGCTACCTAGCGTTAGCTACTGGAGGCGAGTGTAGAGGGAAAAGCACGTCCCAAAACGATGTCTCATGAGAACAGAGTTACGTTAATTCCACCCGTTATTTCAAATAATAGGCAGAAAGAGAGAGGAAGAAGGGAAGAAATAAACACAGCCAAAAAAGGTTCCTGAAAAGGGCCAGTTTAGAGATTGAGATATTATAGAGCACCCTAAGATGCTAGCTAGTTCGTTTGTATGACCGTTTATGCAGAAGACACAATTGCGTAATTTACGCCAACGCTTGAGACGATGACTGCATGAGTTCGGGTACGATCTCTTATAAAACATGTGAGCACGAATACGTTGACGAAGCGGGAAGACCATCTGCCTCCACATAAAGGAGCACCTAGACGGCAAGCGTAAAGTTAAAGAAAACACTCCACTAGTTGCGCGTAGGACACAGAGACATAACGAAGAAGATTTTGAAATAGAAGTCACAATCCTCGTACAGGAAGCTGAAACTTCAGCACGTAACAGTCTTAAAGCGCTTTGAATAAACTCTAAAAATCCAAGAATGGACAGCATGCAGGAGTGCCCTGTGATCGCGTGTGATCTCGCGCCAAACGACGGATCAATTTTTTGGTCTGAGTCACGTGCATTGCGCACTCGTGTGCGACTCCGTGTGGCGTGTCTCCAAGAACCACCAGAGCTCTTAAGAACAACCAAAGGTTGTGTAATATTTCGAAATCGACTTTCCTTGGACCTCGGTATCACTAATCAATATGTATTCTTTCTTTGATGACCTTACACGGGGTTGACAATGATATTTATTTTCTGCTAACCTTTCGACGTCTTCGTCTTCCTCAAAACCGATGATCCGAGTCGAGGGTCCACGCTTGTCATTCGTCTCGACTTGGCAACTTCGCCTTCGAGCTCATCAAAGAAAGAATACAAACGGTGAGTGTTTAAAATATGCTGTTCACTATACGAACAAATCGATCTAATCGATATCGGTTGATCGATTAGTCGATAAACTGACCATTTTGACGCTCCCAGGAGAAGGCGGAACCAGCAAAATGTCTGCTACTGTGTATCAATACACGCTCTAATGACAACCTCGTGTTTGCTCATCAAGTGAATGATTTGGAATAATAATAAGTTAGAAACCAATGAAAAAATAAAGTATTGATCGATATGAGTTATTTATCAACCTCGTGCAAGCTTATCAAGAAAGAATACATATTGATTAGTCACACCGAGGTTTAGGGAAGGTCGGTTTCGAAATATTACGATATGAGAAGTATTGACTGATGTCACCACAAAGTTCAGTGCCCTTACCCATACCAATAAAAAAAACTGTCAGATTTTAAACATTTCATTAGCTCAGTGTCAGATCGTTTTTTAATGAAATACACATCTTTTCCCTAAAATATTTCTTTCAAGGTCTGCTTTCAGAAGTTCCGAAAAGCACCGGTTGTCACCGAAATTTCGTCACCTCATGTGAGTATCAAAAGTGAAGGATTTTGTTTCCAAGCCCATCTTGACTCTTATGCTTGTGTAATTTTTTAGAGCAAGGCATCGAAACAGAAATGGCTTGCTTGAATGACGAGTGCGCCTCTGCTCGGCATACTGACAATGACGGTAACATTGTCGTTTTTCTGCTGCTCATGTTTCTGGTAAGTTCTTCCTTATCCCGTTATTGTTATGCTGTGCTTTCTGTTATTCTCTTTTAGAAAAAAGATATCGAGACAAGAATCGCTCGTGTCTATGAGGAGTATGCGCATCTTCAGCACACTGACGATGACAGTAACATCGTCGCTCCTGGATCACTCATGTTGCAGGTAAGTTTTGTCTTGATTTGAAGCTTCCAACACAGTTTCTTGTTCATTGAACCTGGATTCTAGGCCAACCACGTCCTTCATCCCGATATTTGACCCATTGGCAGGTCCCTACAGGTTATTCTATAGGCCAAATGCGAATTGAATCACCACTACAATGCTTAATGCTGTCGTATATCACGATACATCTCTAAAGGATTGATGAAAAGCGAAGGCTTTATACTCCTTTTCATAATTTTAATATTGGTCTTCTTGTCTTCTTCATTTTCTTTTCCTGTTCATGTCATATTTTATGACATTGGCGATCCACACACATCTAGCATTTGTTCAGCATAATGTCGTCAACATTCGCCGCTTAGAACGTCTTCAACGAAGACTGCCTTCAATGCACGATGTGGCATCAATGAGATGGTTGATTCAAGGGTTACGCCAGTAATCTGAAATCTATCGAACATGCGATGTTGGCGAAACACAATCAACAATTGAACATTGATTAACGAGGGCAAATATAAAACATCGTTGTAGAGCTCACGATAGTGTTTGTAGTGCAACACTGGAAGATTCTTTTGATAAACTCTGAAGTTTCTTTAGTTTCGCCCTGAATGTTGGATACGAATGAATGCTTGCTGTATTTTCCGTAACAACCACCTCCTAGCTCATCAATGAAAGGAAGTGCTTTGATTGTTCACATAAAGGCTAAATGAATGCCAGTTTGCAACAGTATGAACTATTTATGTTCCAGTATTTCTCTAAGGTGTGTTGTTTTCTTTTGAGCATTTTTCATCCTGTGCCGGCGTACGTGGCAGGTGGCTTATCAGTACATTGTTACATTAATGCAATTCTTTTTTTTTCGTGCTTTGTTCTCGTTGTAAATGTGAATGTTCAACGACAAAAGCGTGGAGTGTGGAGTATCCTAAGACATCATTCAGCCTCATAGATTGTAATGATTTAGGTGCTTTTTGAGCGGAGAGTTTTGTGATTTCAATGTTTCCTGCTGGGTAATGTTCCAAGATTGTCTCTGTTTCTGTGTGTGTAGCCCAACGCATTTCAGTAAGGAATTCCAATCATCGTTTCGATCTCTTGCCAATAAAATCTTTGACATCATTTGGCTTCTATTTGTAACACGATATCATTTTTTTCTACAATAATGTTAATGTAATACACAAACGAGTGCGTACGCATTCTTGTCGGTATGTTGAAATCGTGTCGAATTTGTGCCACACCTTAATACCCTATGCGTCTGCGTTTTATTCCGCGTGGCTGCCACAGTTAACTGACCTTCCATTTTTCCCCGTATTTGTGAATTGAAATAAACTCATGCCTGTTGAGCTGTCCTCACCTACTAGTGATATTCATTCTCTTCCTCAGCAACAATCTTTGCGCTCTTCTGGCAACACAGCGCGTAATCGCGATATACACAGACGTTTTAGTAAACTCTGACCTCCGACACTTTCGCTGCAATTGACACTTTAAGTAGCAGCAGTGTGTATGACTTGACAAGCAAACCTTCCCGAAAAGTAAAAGCAACTATGCATTACTAAGTGTGGAGAGTTGTTTTGCTTTCTTTGGACTCAGGCTACATTGGTCTACACTTAGTGACCCATTAGTTTAATAGAAAAATATAGTGATGACCGTTGTGTAGCAAGACAAGCGAGTGAAAAAAACAGTAATTTGACATCAATTTTCACGGATCGATGTGCTTCTGTGTATGAATGGAAATTATTGTACGTCGTCGGAGTTTATGTTCTAACGAATAGGCGAGCTACCAAGCGAAAAAGAACTGAAAGCGTGGACTCGTTTCATTGAGGTCGCCGTGGAGATATCAATCCTCTAGGTCTAGTGGAAGTTCTCTCTGACATTAGGCTTTTCTTAATTCTGTACTTATGATCCGCATTTTGAAGAGCTCCGAATTCTTGATGAGCGCCTATTTCGAGCACTTCTCTACATACTTTGTGATGAGCGCTGAGATCGGCTACTGCGTGAAGTCCCGGAACTTGAGGTAGACCTTCGTCGCCCGCCAGATTGGCGTGACACGGGCTTCTCCGGGCGTCGTTGAACGGGTGCGGAATTCGTCGATTGTGCAGCTGGGGTTTCACAGCGAGTTCCTACACCATTCGACTAACGTCTTCTTGGAGTCAGATGAGCACGGCTAGGCTCGCGACGTGTCCAAGGGCTTCCAAACCCTTTTCGGCTATGCCCCACAGGATGCATATCAGTAAAATCCTTGCATTCTATACTATTTGATTGTATTCTGTTTTATCATGTAGGCATTCCATGCTTAATTGTAACTTGAGTTGACAAGTTTTAAGGCAGTGAATTACCCTTCAATTAACAAAGGTCAACAGTTGTTGTAAAGAGAGAGGGTAACAGAAGCTGAGCTTGCCATCGAAGTCGAATGCGAGCTCGCAGCGTATAAAGTTGCTCTTTTAATGACGATAATGCAACAGTGGCCGATATTTTGTCAACTGTTTACTTCCCGATCACATTTCCCAACGGTTTACTGCCTTATCGTGGCTACGAGGTGTTGCTGGATGTGCGGGCTGCGATATACCGCTTGCAGGACCCCCAACACGGTCTCCCAAGTTGAGAAGCAGTCCGATGCTTCCACCCAGAAGTCCAGCTAAGGGTAAACTAATGCAAGGATTCACCATCGTTTTGGTATCAAACTAGTTGTATGGTGGCAAATCTCCCTCTGATGCACATGGGCGACGACTGCATGTGGTGCTGTCGACCTGGAGCAGACTTTGCCTAGGCTGATCTCGGGGTTCCAGGGAACCATTGCGGCTAAACCAGAAAGTCTCCGGAGAATGCAAATTATGCTAGGGCCGCACAACCAGTTAAACGAGTCATTCAAACGTCCAATCAAACCAAGCAAATAAGTAACGCTACGACTGTACGGTGAAACAAATTCTCAGCAAGTAACGAACATTTACTGAAGTGGCATGAAATCACTGCGGCACTTTCACTCTTTTTTTTCTCTTTTTTAGCCTGAAAAGATATTCCGAGTCTTTATTAGCGATCGATTATTTGAGTGGAGCAGTGAGGGAGAGATTGAATGATTTTCGTTAACACGTTTGATGTGAACACCTGCAGAAACAGTCGTGGTGTTACTGAGGCTCCGTTTATAGAAGCGACCACAAAGGCCTCGCGATTTGTCATTTTTTTTGGAATCTCTATTTTAGGTGCTATTTCATCCCTTTAAGGAGGAACCAAGATCTGATCGGTAAACCTAAATTTAAATTAAATACTGCATTCGTCTCGCACATCATGCAGCAAACACATAACGGGGAATATTTTGATGTAGAATTTAACATCTTCGGACAGGAATTTAAAACCTCATCGCGTAAAAGTCTTAAAGGGTCCTGAATAAACTCTAAAAATTCAGGGATGAACAACAAGGAGGAGCGCCTTGTGCTAACGTGTGATCTCGTGCCATATGCCAAATCGGTTTTTTTTTTGTTCTGAGCCACCCACATTTCGTGTCCATGTGCGGCGTCGTACGGCGGGTCTCCAATAACCACTGGAACTCCTAGGAAAACCCAAACGGTGAGTGTGTAAAGGAATTGTTCTCTATGCAAATAAAGATTTATGCATTTTTTCGTCTGCTGAGGTTACGATAGTGTTTGACCGAGTAGATTTTGGGCCAATTTGACTCGTCCAGGTTGTGATGAACGCGGAACCATCGGATCGTCAACTTTCGTTTATTAATAAATGGTGTAATAGCAGCCTCGTGTTTGCTCACAAAGGCAGTGAATCATTTTAAACGAGAATAAGTTAGCAGCTAGTGAAGAAGATAAAGTATTGATCAATATGAAAAGTATTGAACGACATAACCGAAAAGTCCATTGTTCGTACCCATACCATTAAAAAAAACCATCGGATTTTGAACATTTCGCCAGTTCGTTATTGTCAGATAGTTTTTCAATGTAGTACACAAACATTCCTTTTTCAAAATATTTTTTTCGAGGTCTGCTTTCAAAAAGCACCAGATTGGCCATACGAAAATTGTCACGTCATGTGAGTAATGAAGGATTTTGTTTCTAAGCCCATTTTTTATTCTTATAATATGGCTTGTGTCTTTTTTTTTTGTCTTGTGCTAGTAAGTTCTGTCTTTATTTATAGTTTTCAACAGAGTTTCTTGTTCATCTCTAGGCAGAGCTCTAGGATAACCACGCCCTCCATCCTGACATTTGATCCATTGGTAAGTCTCTGCAGTTCATTGTATAACCCAAATACGTATTATATCACCACTGCAATGCTTAATGCTGTCGTATATCGTGGCGCATCTTTAAGGGATTGGTCAAGGGCGAAAGTTTTACACCTTCCTATCCTTTTCATGCTCTTCTTCTTGTCTGCCTCCTTTTGTTTTTCTGTTCATTTCATATTTTATGACATTGGCGATCCACACACATCTGGGATGATTCAGCATAAAATCGTCAACGAGCGCCGCATAGGACGTCTTCGACGTAGACGTTGTCAATGTACGATATGACATGAGCAGTTTTAATCGAGGACTATATGAGTAATCCGCAATTTCTCGAACGTGCGATGTTGGCGGAACACGTTCAAGAACTGAATAAGGATTAATGAGGAGAATGACAAAACGTCCTAGTAGAGCTCGCGATATTGTTTTTCAGTGTGAACACAGGAAAATTCTTATAGTAAACTGTGGGGCTTCTTTAGTTTCGCCTGAATGTTGGATACGAATGAATGTTTGCTGTATTTTCCGTAACAACCACCTGCTAGCTCATCAATGAAGGAAAGTGCTTTGATTGTTCACATCGAGGTTAACTGAATGCAACAGTATCAACAATGTATGTTCCAGTATTTCTCTAAGGTGTCTTGTTTTCTTTTGGGCATTTTTCAGCCTGTGTAGTCCTACGTGGCACGTAGTTTATCAGTACACAGTACCTTAATGCATTTCTTGTTTTTCGTGCTTTCTTCTCGTTGTAAATGTGAATGTTTTACGACAAAACCGTGCAGTATGGAGCATTCGAAGGCATCATTCAGCCCCATAGATTTAGTGATTTAGGTGCCTTAGTGGAGAGTTTTGTGATTTCAATGTTTCTTGTAGGGCAGTGTTCCGAGATTGTCTCTGTTTCTGTGTTTGTAGCTCAGCGCATTTCAGCAACGAATCCTGATTATCGTTTCTATTGCTTCCTAATAAAGTCTTTGACATTATTTGTCTTCCATTCGTAACATGATATCACGGTTTTATACAACAATATTAATGTCATAACATACAGGTGAAACGATGAACCCGCATGGTGTGGTGGTGAACTCGTTAGCCCCTGGAAAGGGTAATAGCGCGTTCGTTTATCACCACAGACACCTACGGTCCGGAGTTTTCCAAATATCTCAGCATCATTGAGATTATATTTCGCAATATATGCCTTGCCATTAAAAATAGTAGGCAGTAAATAATATGTTAAAATT